AATTTAATATTATAATTTTTGAGCTTATTTGATTTTTATATATTTATAATTTTTATATTTATAATTATAAATTATATTGTAAACAAAATTATAGAGAGCACAATAAAAATTGTACAAATATTATATTATAAGTGATTTCAATTTTATTTTTTCAACTTTAAAATTTATAATAAAGTTAGAAAATTGATTTAATATAAAAATGTTAAAAAGAATAATAAAATATTATTAGTTTGTAATAATATTTGTACAACTTTTATGAGATAAATTACATAATTATATATAAATTAAATATATTTTGTTAAAATACTGTAAATAAAAATAATTAAAAATCATTTATCTATACAATTTTGATGTTTTAAGGATGGATGAAAAACACCATAATAAATAATCATAGCTGTTATACCTAATAAAAATGGTACAACACAAAAAATAATAAGTATATTAAAATACCAAGAATTTTTAACTTCATTTGATGAAACATATATCCAAATAATAGTTGCTATTATATTTTCAAAAAAGCAAATTATATAAAAGAATATATGTTTAAGTAATGTACTACCATCTATTGGATTTAGATATATGAACACATGTATTACACCAATTACCACAGAAAATAATATAGAATAAATACGTTCTTTAATTTTTGGCGAACAATGTGGAGCATGATTAGAATCTTTACAAAATTCCAATATACCATGGGAATCAATAATAATCCAAATAGTCATACTTATCCAATGAAAAATACAACCAATTATAGTATATATTGGCCAAATACTTGCCAGAACACTTAGAGATAATATTCTTGAAACTGAAAAATTATTTTAAAAAATAAATTTTAACTTTTTTGTATAGTAATCATGTATACACACCTGTTATACAGAAATGCCATACAAATTGTAAAACTATTCCTATAATATTAATATTTAGTTTATCTTGTTGAGCCAATCTAATACTACGATGATAATTAGCCATTGCCCATCCCATACTTCCGAGTGAACTAGTAATACTAGCTATTTGATGAATAACTATAATGTAGATAAATATTAATTTTATTTCTCTTAATTAATATTATAAAATGAATTATATAAAAAACATACATTCAAAATTAATATTATTGTGATCATTTAATAATATAGTTAATTGTAAAATTTGTTGAGGAGCAGCTTCAAGAAAACATTCAGATACTCTTAATAATGCAACATCTTGATCTTCTTTAAGCATTTTGAGGTAATATCGTCTTTGAGCATTACGATTATTTTGTTTATTGAATTTACAAGCATTAAGAGCATATTTTAAAGTTCGATAATAGCGCAACACTGGTGCTAATTGAAATGCTATAAGTATAATGCAATATAATTTTTTTGATAACATTGCATGTATGCATTTAAGATCAGTAGAATCTGATGTTTCATTTGTCTAAAAAAAAAAACAATATTACATATTTAATTATATTAATTAATTTAATTATATTAATTATATTAATGTTTTTATTCAATATAATTTTTTACCTTGTTATCTTGTTGTTGCATTCTTCTGCTAATTATAACATTTATAAATGAAGGTAAAAAAATAAAAACAGTTGTCCATGTAAAATATATTACTTTTTCAGCTAATAAATATCTTATGGCAAGATTTATATCAATTGCTACATCTAAAATATGCATAAGAATTGAACATATAAGAAAAAAAATATCCAAATAAGATACAGTTGGATTTTTCAAAGGAACATCTACATCATCAATATTTATTTCTAATATAGGAAAAATATCAATAATTTGTCTTGTATGCAATTGTTTAGTCTGAATTTCCATATTTAAATATTGTCAAATAATCTTCAACATAATCTAAATAGTAATAACAAATATTAAGAGTTATAAATTTTAATTATTGATTTATTCAAAATTTATAATATTTTTTTATTAAAAATAACCTTAAAGAATTAAACTACAGAGATTTAAATTTTGTTGTCATTTTAGAATTTTTGTTATATTATATATAACTTTTATTTTGACTAATTATCTGTAATATGAAATACATGTATATTTATTTATTTATTTCAATTAATATGTAAATATAATTTGATACATTTTAATACAATTGAATACAATTACTTTTAACTTATTTTTTTTAATTTGTTGATACGTCATATGATACATTATCGAACGTCATAATGTGATTATTTATAGTATTAAATTTATAGTATTAAATATTATAATTAAAAATGCACTAAAAATTTAGTACAACTTTTTATGTATATTTTATTATGTTGCATATAACATTTTTGAATATGAAATTTAATAATTTAATATTATCTTTGATACTTTATATAAATAAAAGATATATATAAGTAAATAAAAAAAAATACATATTTAATTGTTCTTCTTTTATGAAAGAGTACGAATTATTGTTGATTGTTGCCATGACACACTTTCTTTGAATATATTGTAATATGAAATATATTAGAATTAGAGATTTCAATATAATTTTAATACTATAGATTTATAATATGAAATTTAAAACACGATAAATTCTATATTAACTTAAATATTTATTTTAGAGTTAAAATTAGAATAATAAAATTAGAATAATAAAAAAAACTTAAAGAACTTTCATATTTATAATTATATTTTACGAAAAATAAATATTTTACCTAAATATTTTACTTAAAAATTATATTTATGAAATATTATTAATTTAAACAAATTTTTTAAATTATACTTATTTAACATACATATAATATAATATATATATATATACTGTATTAAATAAATATGTATTTAATTTTCAAAGTTTTTTCAAATTTCTTAATCATAAAAAATCTCAAATCTTATTAAATAAATGTTTTCTTTGATAATCTTTAAGATATTTGTTATGAACATTATCTTTATTTCTCTATTTAAAAAAGTAAATAAAAAATGCATAATTATTAATTTTATTAATTTTAAAATGCATAATTAATGTTTATTAATTAATGAATGAAATTCATACATAATTTTTATAAGTTTTAATTACATTATATTTTATTAGTTTTAATTAATTCACAAATTATAATTTT